ATGCTTCCAGTCCCTACAATTTTCTCCTAATAGACGCAACAGATAGAAGTAAGATTAGTAGCAATCAAAAGCGCTTTTTTATCGCATTAAGCCTATACCCCCTTTCATTTTCCGCGAACACTTCCTTTAATCGAACCAAAATAAATTTTTCTGTTTCTGATATATATTATATTATGTCGTAATCCAAACATTTTTGTTCAACATCTTTTCCAGTTCAAAAAATTGCAAAGCTTTTGATTTTGAAATAAAGAGGAAGTATGATTTTTTAAAAAATTAAAAATCTGCACTCTGAACATTTTCCATTTTTGGAAACAGTTTGTTCCGCGTTTTTTAACGTTGGCGTTCCGTTTATTTTCCTCAAAATTTGTTCAATCACATTCTTTTATTGAAGAAAACGATCGTTCGCCCTTAACTAATAGTTTCTATATGGTTCGATGAATTCTCGTTTTTGAAATTCTTGAATCCTCACTGTAACTACATCATTGATACCACAACACCTGAAATAGGAAGACGACATTGAAGCATTCTTATGTGCTGCTGCTATAAAACAAATATTTATTTATTTTATATTTGATTGCAGCAGGCGTCTTCCTTTTCCACAGTTTTATGGAACTCACTGTATAAATAATTCTAGGGACAATGAGACTTACAGAGACTTGTGGATGGATAAAAGAAAACAAGGATTAGTGATCTCAGGAGTTGTCTCTTTTATAATATTTAAATCTTATATTGGAATGTAAATGATGTAAATATGGTAAATAAATCATACAATTTGACATACTTCTAATTTCTAGATTGAAGAAAGTGTTCACCTTTTTCAAAATAAAAATTAGAATCTAATTTTTGAGTAGGAAGATTGGTAATTAATTGCAATTAATTAGGGTTTCCCGCGAACAGTGAAGCTGCTACAACTAATTATTAATTGTGCAAATAAACTTGTGAAATTCTCTGCTCTGAGAGCTCAACATTTGAAGTTTTATTATATCATAATTAATAATTTCTCGTTCTTTAATTTGAAAAATGTTTGATGAAAAATTCGCAAAAATTTCGCATTTGTGTCGAAAAGGTTTTGCTTTTTTTCGCTAAATGTTTGCATTTCTTATTTCGCGAAAATTTTTGCATTTTTTCGCGAAACAGATTAAAGCGAAAATTCGTGAAAAACGCAAAAATCTTTGCATTTTTTTCAAACAAACGAAATACGAAATATTCGCGAAAAAAACAGTTTTTCTCGAAACGATTTTCCCTTTTCGCTGAAAACCCTAGTTGCCATCTTAAATCAAAAGATTATGATATTATCCTTTTTTTAATTAAAAAAAACTTTTTTTGCTTTTTGAAAGTCTTAAGTAAATCTTGAACATTAAAAAATATTCATTACCTCTGAAATATATCTCTTAAAATACACCATAGCGTCATGTCGAACTAAAGTAAATTGCACTTAAGATTGAAAGTGTTTTCTTATTGAAAAGCTATAAAAAAAATAACTTGTTTTGTATTTATAAAATGTAGCGGGATTCCTCGCACCAGTGAAAACGGAAACAATTGAGCTGCACAGTGTTACATGTAATGTCACAAAATTGACCTTATCTTTCTTGTCTTGTTTGCAGTGCAGAGTATTTAAAGGGAGTGACCGGCTATGTAAGGTAGTTGAACTGAGTATGCAGGGTTGTGGAAAACTTCTTTCGGATTCATTTCAGACATATTAAACTTTTTAAAGATCTTTAAATCCTTAGTTTGAGCGCAAATTCGACGTTCAAAACTCCTACTTTGGGGGTGGATATGTTTTCAGAATTAGTTTTTTTTTAAATTATCCCCAAATTGTGTTTTTTTCTTAGGGATTTTGGAAAATAATGTGCAACAAATTTTTTTCTTCGAAATGTTGAAAATGTCATGTGGAAAAGTTATTAAATAATGCAGTGTGAATCGATCATGATTATTAAGTTTTCTTATTAATTTATAACCTAAATCAAAGAATCACCATGATTTAGAAAATTTGAAATAATAAATAAAGATTTTATAATTATTGATTAAACGGCTTTGTATATCATTTCATGATAAAACTTTTGGGTGGTGACGTAATACATGACGCTTTAAATACTTTATACAGAATATATATATAAATATATATATCCCTCCCAAATCTTAGAAACACTCAAAAAAAAATTTTAATTCTAACAAAAAATGCAATTTTTTAGCCGTATGCATGTAAAGCTCCTGGGTACTCAAAAGTCTTGTTTTTAACAGAAGCTGAGAGTGTTAGATTTACAAGAATTGTATATATTTAAATATATATAAATGAGCGAAAAGCATTAATAAATAGATTTTACTGATAATTATAATATAAATATATTTTGCTAAAGGTTTTCCTGATTAACCGATATCATGACTAGAAGTTCTATATAATGTTATAAGAAACTAAAGATGGGCTGACACTGATTAGTTTCTTCAACAAAGTTTTAGATAAAGGGATTGTAGAAGTAAAGAGTAAAAAGCCAAAAAACTGTATTGCAGCCTACCTTAATTATATTAATTAAGGTTCATTCCAGGTTAAAAATCAAATACAAATGTGTGTGATAACTCAAACGCCTGTGCTCCATTTTGCGTTGTTTTTGAGTCTATTTTAGATTTATTTTGGCGAATGAACGAGCATCTTTAAAGCCATTAAAACTCTGATTTTTTATTTCTATTTATTTGTAATCTAATGTTGTAGAACTTAGATATTTAAACTGTGAATTTTGTTAGATCAAATAATCTGAGTTTGTAATATCAAAGGGGGTTAAAAAGATAAAGTTTGTGGCAATCAATCAACATTAAAACTTAAAATAGAGTGAATTAAAATGTTTAAGCCATACAATCCCTTTGTAATGTCCAAGTTGGTTTATGTACTAAACCAAACTCCTCCGTCCGAGGCCACTTACAATGGAGTTCTTCTTAAACTTAATCAGTTGGTTCAAGTATACACTCCTAGTAGTTCAAGTAAACACACCTAGTAGTTCAAGTATACACACCTAGTAGTTCAAGTATACACACCTAGTATTTCAAGTATACACTCCGAGTAGTTAATGTATACAAACCTAGTAGTTCAAGTATATACACTTAGTAGTTCAAGTATACACACCTAGTAGTTCAAGTATACACACCTAGTAGTTCAAGTATACACACCTAGTATTTTAAGTATACACTCCGAGTAGTTAATGTATACACACCTAGTAGTTCAAGTATACACACTTAGTAGTTAATGTATACACACCTAGTAGTTCAAGTATACACACCTAGTATTTCAAGTATACAAACCTAGTAGTTCAAGTATACACACCTAGTAGTTCAAGTATACACACCTAGTATTTCAAGTATACACACCTAGTAGTTCAAGTATACACACCTAGTAGTTCAAGTATACACACCTAGTATTTCAAGTATACACTCCGAGTAGTTAATGTATACACACCAAGTAGTTCAAGTATACACTCCTAGTAGTTCAAGTGTAAGAGTTTTTTTTATTTGTAAACATTCTCATTCGCTCAATTAGTCTTTTCTTTATGGGAGGCGCATGGACCATATCACTTCACGAATATAAGGAACATAATACTTGAGAACGATTGAAATGGATCGTTCAAGGAAATGAAAAAATATCGTTTTTTAAAACGAACGAAAAAAACGTAAGATTTAAAATCGCTTGAACGAACTTGAAAAGACGATTGTTTTTTAGCTGAACAAACGAATTGTCCGACAGGTTTGAAAAACCCGATTGGTTTTCACCGAAAGAAAAATTGTTTTGGAACAAACTTTTCAAAACCAATAGTTTTTACTGAACAAACGATTTTATCAATCCTACTTTTAAAATAATAATCATTTTTTTACTGATCAAACGATTTTGTTGAACAATATTTCAGTGAGAAAACGAACGAAATAGATGGGAAATGAACGATAATTTTGATTTGAACTTTAAAATATATTCTCTTGAAAATCAGCATCAAGTTGGTAATCTATATAAAAATCTCTTCGCTTACACAAATAGAAATAGAGTATAGTTGGCCAAACGCGTCTGAACAAAACTGGGCTCCTTAGGATAAAGGAATTGAGTCTTTTGAACAAAATCAAATATTTAAACCTCAATATCTTTGGAACCCGAGATTTTAAACCTTTGATATTTCAAACTCAGATTATTTGATTTAACAAAATTCATAGTTTGAAATATCTAAGGTCTGCAACATTTGGTTCCAAAGATAAAGTGATTATAAAATCAGAGTTTGTGGCAAAAACTCAATTCCTTTACTTATTTTAATTAATGACCAGGCGCGGGTAAAAAGCGGGAATAACTATATGAATAACCTGGACAACGCTAGGCACTTGGCTGCAGTCCAAATATATTACAGGTGGCAACCGAGAAATAGATCAATTAAACACGACGTCACAAGTTTCAAATATAACAAAGAAACCTAAATTTTCTCTTATTAGTTGACATGTATTCCAAGATTAAATAAAAAGTGTAAAAACAGAAAATAAAGAACACATAAAATTAATATCATTTTACCATAAGATAGTACGCACATATTTTACTATAAGATAGTACGCACATATTTTACTATAAGATAGTACGCACTTATTTTACTATAAGATAGTACGCACTTATTTTACTATAAAATAGTACGCACATATTTTACTATAAGATAGTACGCACTTATTTTACTATAAGATAGTACGCAAATATTTTACTATAAGATAGTACGCACTTATTTTATTATAAGATAGTACGCACTTATTTTACTATAAGATAGTACGCACATATTTTACTATAAGATAGTACGCACTTATTTTATTATAAGATAGTACGCACTTATTTTATTATAAGATAGTACGCACTTTTATTAAATTATCACTATTATTAGTAATTGTGTCGGACACAAAAACCGAATCGACACTTGTGACGTCAGAATACAGATGGCCAAACTTCTTGACCAAAATGGCTGACATTTTTTTACGGTACCTTGGGGGTGACTATAGGCTAAAAAATGAGAAAATAAGATTTTTGTTAAAATACAGTTGCAGTGTTTTAGAAAAATGACAGACGAAACGATTAAGAGTGAGTGGAAGGTAAGAGTTTAACAAGTAAAATAAATTATTTCAAAATGGTCATTTTGTAAAATACTGTTAGCTTAATTTTAAACTTTATACTAATTGTGCCGAATAAACTTCTACTGCCCTAGATTTTTGTCAAGAATTTGGTACAATTTAGACAGCCAAAGCTTACAAACGGTGGGTCATTACTCATTAAGTGCCAACAGAAATATTTAACCCTCGTTTTAAAAGTTGTAATTACCTGCAAACACTAGAATTTAATATTTATAGTGATTATGCAGTTGCTATAAAACTAAGAGTCTATTACAATAATAAACTTTTTAAACACAAGTTTAATAAACCCTTTTGGTGCATTTTATCATTTGCAAGCAAAATTTTACGATTACAAATTACGATACATTAGACTTAAAGGTTCCATCGACGTAACTTAAAGTGAATTCACAGTTGAAAATTATCAAATAAAAAAAGAAATATGTTCGTCATTTTTAGTAACAGGAATAAAGGTTTAAAGGGAACCGTTGTAAATCGGACAAACAAATCTGTAAATTAATGATTACTTGAAATTACGTTGGCAGTCCCTTTAAAATTATAAACAATTTGTTTTGTTTGTTGTGTTGATTAATACGGTTATATTTAATATTCCCTCTAAAATTATAAGCAATTTGTTTTGTTTGTTGTGTTGATGAATACGGTTATATTTAATATTCCCTTTAAAATTGTAAACAGTTTGTTGTGTTTGTTGTGTTGATGAATACGGTTATATTTAATATTCCCTCTAAAATTATAAACAATTTGTTTTGTTTGTTGTGTTGATGAATACGGTTATATTTAATATTCCCTTTAAAATTGTAAACAGTTTGTTGTGTTTTTTGTGTTGATGAATACGTTTATATTTAATATTCCCTTTAAAATTGTAAACAGTTTGTTGTGTTGGTTGTGTTGATGAATACATTTATATATTTAATATTCCATCTAAAAATGTAAACAGTTTGTTGTGTTTGTTGTGTTGATGAATACGGTTATATTTAATATTCCCTTTAAAATTGTAAACAGTTTGTTGTGTTTGTTGTATTGATGAATACGTTTATATTTAATATTTCCTTTAAAATTGTAAACAGTTTGTTGTGTTGGTTGTGTTGATGAATAGGTTTATATTTAATATTCCCTTTAAAATTGTAGACAGTTTGTTGTATTTGTTGTGTTGATGAATACGTTTAAATATTTAATATTTATGCCGAAATATTTTTATTTATTTCCTGTCCTTAAGCAATCCAGGTAGTTTCCTCGTTAAAAAGATTTATTCTGTAATTACAATACCATTTTCATCATTTTACAAAATATATAATACATTGTAATAAACAAACAGCTATAAAAGTAACATTATAAGAATAAAAGGTAAATTTAAGTTAGATGACTTTTGAGCTCTTTTTTTAAATGAAAAAAGTATAATAAAAACTACTTTCTTGTCATGAAAGAAAAGAAAAAAACTATTATTATATCCCAAGGGTATTCTCCCCCCAACTCCTAACCAATACCAAGTCTAAACCGATCATAAAACCATAATACAACTTATTGTTTGGGGCTGAGATAGATAATATCATTATAAAAAGCAACAAACGTGAAAATAATTGAATTATCATCTTTATTTTTATAAATACAGTACAAGCATGGGAACACAGGTTTGCCTGGAGGTATAAACAATGTTTCAAACCAACCAAATGCGTTCCCCAATTCAAATTTGAGGCCAATATGTCGGGTAAACATAGGGAAAAGTAACAAACAAATATTATAAACATTTAAATTGTTAAAAGTGTCGCATATTTTGTCCTTTGTAAATATTCTGGGTAAAATCATGAGAAAAGAAGAATGACTGGGCACGTACCACCAGTTGATTTGAGGCAAATACCAACCAGCTAAAGTTTTGGGAATATCTCGAGAAAATTCCTCTAGAATTTCTTGAAAATCAGGATAGCACAAGTTAAAAAGACGAGCATTAGTGAAAGTGGTCCAAAGGAGCCAAAAGGAATTAAGCCTTTGCCATAAACGCAAAATTTATAATCCGTATATCTTTGCAACATGACTGTGTAAATCTTTGGTATTTTAAACGGCGCTACGACATCTGTTCTATTTCCATTTGCTCTATGGTCATTTGCTCTAGTTCCATTTGCTCTATCAAGTCATTTGCTCTATACGTCATTTGTTCTATACGCCATTTGCTCTATATTCAATCTGCTCTATGAGTAAACACGTCATTTGCTCTATAACCAAAAAATACCAGCTTTGATTGTAATTCCTGAGCGTAACTTGACTATGAAATGCGGGAATTTTTTTTTGGAAAATTCGCAAATTGCAGTTTTCATCAGTTCTTCAAAGTTCATCATGACAGAGAGACTGCTCAATAACAAGAGGAGTAAAACAAACCTAATATGTGGGGAAAACTATATTTATTCTACTCTAAACAAACAAACTAACTCCAGGAAGTTGGCGGAATAATGAAACTGTAAGAAGAATTGTAAAATGTAAAATTGTAAAAATATAGTTTTAATATGATTAGATATTTGTAAAATATGTTTATAGAGCAAATGACGTGTTTACTCATAGAGCAGATGTTGAGTAGAGCAATTGGACCATCACAGTCATAAAAATGTTTATAGAGAAAATGACGTGATCTATGAGCTATAGAGCAAATGGTTAATAGAGCAAATGGAACTAGAGCAAATGTAGCGCCATTTTAAACTGATATTATTGAAATATCTAAGTTCTACGACATTGGGTTGCAAAGACATAGCTGGACTAGACATTCAGAATTTGTAGCAAAGACAATATTCCTTTATTTATTCAAAAATATTTCTCTCAGGCATTGTTTAAGTCAATGGACTCCGATGAAAATGGTACTTTAACTATCATGGAATTATACAGGTTAAGCTCTCTCCACTAAAACCCACTCAGTGTACTGAAAATCAATGCAGAATCTTAGTCGTGGGTGAAAAGGAACTTAGTATTTGCCACATTTTACAATTCCTATATCTTTGCAACCAAACTGTGAATTATTTTTTGAATACCAAAAGTGATAAGATTGCAAAGATATAAGGATTAGAAAATATAAGAATTGGTTAAAATCTCTTTTTAAAAAGAAATATAATTTCTGTATTTACACGAATCTAACTTAACAAATGAGTTTTGATAAATTAACATGAAATTATTGCAAAATAACAATTTCCTATTTCTTACTAATTCATATAATATAACATTATTTATTAATTAACAATTAAGTTTTGATAAATCAACTTCAAATTGTTATAATATCCTAACTTCTTATTTCTACTAATTCTCCTAAAGCCGAATTTAAAGAATTTGAGCCGCGGCTTAAATTTGGGACTCGGCTCTAATTTGGTTGGTTCCACTTTAAATTGTATTCAATGTTTCAAGATTTAAGCCGGCGCTCGATTAAAACCGGTTTTCTGGCGGATTTGAGACGCAGCTCAAATATATTAAATTCGGACTCAGATTAAACATACAAAGCTAATTCTAATGAAACAATACTCACAAAATTTCACTCTTACCAATTCTGTCTTGTCCGTGATTTGAAAATTACCAGAGATAAGAATGATTTCTCACATATACATAAAGGGTTATCCACAAAGGATGAGACTGTTAAGACGACCCAAAACTATAAAAATATGACGATTTGAAGCTTAAATTTTGGATTCTGCATTCTATTATGTATTTTATGATAAAATGATTAAGCACAGAAATAAGCCAGTTTTGGCTTATAAGGAACTCTGAATGCAAGAAAATGGATTAAACAAATTCTGAACAATCGTCTCTGAAGTTTTATCATTTGTGGATAACCCTGTATGTATATTTATATGTTAGCTATATAGCTGGCCAAAAGACCGAATTGACTGAGATTTTGTTTAATAAATCCATGGGTACCCGTAGGAAACATTAGCAAACAATAGGCTTTTTTTCAAAAGGAACTTTGTATTCAAAATAAAAGAAACTGTATCTAGCGGTCAACGCCGGGAACTTCAGCTAGAATTACAAAATTTGAAATCTAAACGAAATTCATAAAATCTCTGGTATTTCTTAAAGCATAAAAAGTGCAAAACACATTTTGGAAATGACAGAACTTGTGTTATTATGTGATTCTAGGTTCCTAATAGCTCTAGTAGAGGAGGAAACTAAATCTATAGAGAAAGCTGAGGAAGAGGTTGGTAGTGTAAATATATGAATACAGGGATCCCCAGAATAAAGGGGAATACAAGGATTTCCAGAATAAAGGGGAATTCAGGGATCCCCAGAATAATGGGGAATACAGGAATCTCCAGAATAAAGGGGAATACAGGGATCCCCATAATAAAAGGGAATACAGGGATCCCGAGAATAAAGGGGAATACAGGGATCCCCAGAATAAAGGGTAATACAGGGATCCCCAGAATAAAGGGGAATACAGGGATCCCCAGAATAAAGGGGAATACAGGGATCCCAGAATAAAAGGGAATATAGGGATCCCCAGAATAAAGGGGAATACAGGGATCTCCAGAATAAAGAGAATACAGGGATCCCCAGAATAAAGGGGAGCACAAGGATCCCCAGAATAAAGGGGAATACAGGGATCCCCAGAATAAAGGGGAGCACAAGGATCCTCAGAATAAAGGGGAGGACAAGGATCCCCAGAATAAAAGGGAATACAGGGTTCCCAGAATAAAGGGGAATACAGGGATCCCCAGAATAAAGGGGAATACAGGGATCCCCAGAATAAAGGGGAATACAGGGATCCCCAGAATAAAAGGGGCGCACAAAATTTGACCACGCTCATTTAAATATATTTAGATCAAGATTGAGAATGTGCGAGATATATTTAAAACCTTGGATAAAGACGGAGATAGAGCTGTAAACTTTGAGGAGTTTTTTGTAAGTTGAAAAATTTATCTTTCGATTTTATAATGGCCTTAAAGATTTAAAAAAAAGTTTATTTTACACATTTAAAACCTAGACTTAGCCCAGTACCTAAAAACTAAATTCTACACCTGAAACTAAGCGCTAAGTAAATCTAAAACGAAGATAACTATAAATTAAAAATATTTAGGAGGCTATCAAGGATCGGCTCAATGATGACACTTTTAAGGCAATGCTGACTAAAAAGACCAATATCAGGTAACTGAACTAAATAATCCGCAATTTATTCAGATTAAACTTTTTTTTAATTTTTTGCAAATATATATTCTACCTAGCTCTGAGAGTACGTATATCTTAATGCAAGTGTTGAAAAAATGCACCAATTTACAGTTACGATTGGTTTTAACCCTGAATTCATTATTTTACAGAACTTTTAAGCTAAACTTAAGACTTGCACACTCCTAAATTTTGGACTCAGAAGTATTTTTAAAATAAAATTTGAACCATACATTTGTTTATGACAGTAGGCAAAAGAGTGAGCAGTTTTCTGAGCAGGAAATCGAGGAAATTATCATTTTAAATTGAATTATGTTCTACAAAGAATTGAATTTAGTCTTTGCCACAAACTTAAATTTAAAATCTGATGGTGTAAACCTTATATATATTTCAAACTCAGATTATCTAATAATCTAACAGAGAGTTCACAGTTTGAAATATCAAAGGCCAACGACATTGGGTTGTAAAGATGTAAAGATGTAAAGATGTAAAGATGTAAAGATGTAAAGATGTAAAGATGTAAAGATGTAAAGATGTAAAGATGTAAAGATGTAAAGATGAGAAAATCAGAGTTTGTGACAAAGACTCGCGTTCACATTGTTTGTTTAGCTAGACTTTTATTGCCCTCAATTCCTAAAAATAACTGAAGCTTCAACATTACAATTTATTTTGTAAATTAAAAATTTACAGAATTCTCAAAATGCATTTGACAAAGGGGCACTTGAAATCACATCTTACTTTGAAATAAATAAAATCAAACCTCCGTGAAACAAAATATAATTATTATCGGGCAGGATCTGTTCTATCAAATAGATGTAGACCGTAGTGGACATATCTCAAAAGAGGTAAAATACTTGTGAAAACTTGTATTTATTTATCGCTGAGATTTGTCTCACATTCAAAAATGGTTTATTTTTCGTACTGTGGTCGTATATTGAAATTGATGCAATAATGACGACTTTTTATCAATAATGCTTTGATCCGTAACTATCATTTTTCAAATTACAAGTTTATAGGTAAACATTAAGATTTAGTTAATAGACAGCTTCTCTTTGTTTACATGTTTATTTGTCTCTGCTGTCAGAAATATTAGTGTAGTTGAAAAAGAAATTTGTCTTTATTGAAATATACGAGGACGACTAAATATTAAATATCAGATTTCTGTCAAATTAAATTTTGCAGTCAAACCATTTTTCTCTATTTCATTTTGTTCATTTTTATGTTTTACACGTAGAAGGTTTTGAAGGTTTTGACCTTTTTCACGTTTCTCCCTGTATGAGGTTTTGAAGGCTAAAACCTTTTTTATGTTTCCCCCTGCAGAATGTTTTGAAAGCTTTTTACTCTTTTTTTTATTTCCCCCTGTAGGAGGTTTTGAAGGCCTGCAGAAGGAAACGAACATCAAGCAGGCTGGGGATAGATGATGTCGAGGAGTGGTTGAATAAAACAGATAGAGACGTTTATCAATTTTATCATTACTATTGTTTTTATTATCATTATTATCAAATTAATATAATTATTAATATTATTATTTTCGAAATTGTTTAATTTGATCATGAAGTAACATATATTTCCAATGTTCTAGGATGGGAATATTAGTCTCAACGAATTCAAATTTGCATTCCTTGGAACAAACATGATTGATATCTAATAACAATTAATAATTATGTTAATTGTTAAAAACGTTGTGATTAAAATATTTTAGGAAATAGGTTTCAGCTCAACTATGTAAAATATGTAAAATAAAATATATTATCAGGTGCTTAACTGTACAAGCCTAAACTAACTTTAACATATTGCAAGCTTTGAAAAATTGCTTACAGTTTAATTGATATTCAAATCATGAAAACGTCCAAAATATCCTAATAAACATAAACCGTTTTTTTATTCAGAAATAGCGGTAGACTATTTTGATTCTGAATATCACGATTTTCCATATTTTTTATTTGTATTGTCAAAAAATATTTAACAATATAGCTCACCTGCTGAGAAGAATTAAGCTATATGCCTTAATTTTGTAATTTGACCTGAACACCGCTATAAAATAATAATATTAAAAGCTAGCACACTTTTATATTTTTTTCTCAAAAGAAATTGGGTCATTGCCACAAACACTAATTTTCTAATTCCTTAATCTTTGCAGCCTGATGGTGTAAACCTTTGATTTTTAAAATCATGACTATTTGATCCAATAGAATTTACATTTTGAAATATCTATAAGGTTGCAAAGGTTGGGTTGCAAAGATATAAGGATTTGAAAACCAGAGTGTGTGGCAAAGTGTCAATTTTTTGTTTACTATATATCGCGAATGAAAAGTGACGACAATAAAAATATCTTAATAAATACACAATTATTTTATTTGATTTCGTCAGGTTTTACAATAGAATGTTTTATGCTTCTAGTCATCTCCAAGAAAAATAGGTTTTTAATTTTAAAAGTTGGTTGAAGTTGACGGAAATAATCTAGCTTTGGCTTTTTTTTGACCCGTTGAGCATCATTTAAAAATCCATATTATTCATATCTTTATTCTAAATGATCTATTAAAAGAAACGGTATACAATGACACAAACATTTCACAACAAGACTATCGAAGAAAACCAAAATGTATCATTTACTCTCAGACAAATTTCCATTGATTCTAATTTGTCTGAGAGTAAATGACTTTCCTTTTTAAAGAGGTGATAAACCCGAGGGCTTGCGGATTTTGTGGATTTTTTTTTTTGCTTTTGTAGATTTTCAAAGTATCTTTCAATGAAAATATCCCGGCGGGATTAAATGCAAATTGTTGCATACCAAAAAAAAAACAGCTTTTTATAAAGGAATAATAATTGCACGGTACCACAAGTGACGACAAGCTGCACCCATTACAGTCGAGACTTGATACAGTCGACGTTTAATAATTCTGTCGACATTTGATAAAGTCGACACATTGGATTCGACATTTAATAGTATCATTTTGCTTGTTTTAAATTTCAAAATCTGAAGTAGAATTTAATGCCTGTAATATGCATTTTTGGTTCGGCATCATAATATCAAAAGAAATTTTGTTGGAGAAGGAGAAAAGCTGGGATTTAAAGATATGTTTTATTCTGGAAAAAAAAATTCAGAAAGAAAAAAATTAAATGGAGTTCTTAAAAGGTGCATCGTACGTCAAATATATCCACATTAAATTCACAAACATATCATATAATACTAGTAAGTAGTGACAAATTAACAATAAGATAAACATAATTAAACTAGTCCAGTACCATCACTGTACACCATCTTGCGTATTGTTTAAACATAATTAAACTAGTTGCAGTACCATCACTGTACAGCACCTTGTTTATTGTTTACATAACAGGATAAGTTGATTCACGTGACGTTACACTAACTTTCTAAACGGAAAACACATTTTATTAAATATCAAAAACAGGTTTTCCGACAAAATTTGTTAATTTGTTTCAAGTATTTTAGCTGAAAGTATTCCTTAAAAAATTTAACATATGACAAATACAATCGTATTCTACAAATATCCATTTATTTCAGTTTGAATTGTTTTCTCCAACAAAAGTATGATCGAATAGAAAATGTTAGTTTAATTTACAAAACAAGTGTTAATTACTAAGTAGAGAGAAAGAAGGAAAATGTATTGTAGGATTAATGAAGCCAGAGATGGAATTTAAAGAATTTGAGCCGCGGTTTAAATCCGCCAAAACCCGGTTTAAATTAAGCGCCGGCTTAAATCTTGAAACATTTGATACAATTGTAAGCGAAACCCACCATATTTAAACCGCGGCTCAAATTCTTTAAATTCGGCCACAGACTAAATTAACCAGTGTCCGAATATAATGAATTTAAGCCGCGTCTCAAATATCCCAAAATCCGGTTTCAATTGAGCTTAAATCTTCAAAAAATCTGAATACAATTAAAGTGGAACCAACCATATTTGAGCCACGGTTTAAATTTCAGCCGTGGCTCAAATTCTTTAAATTCGGCCTCAGGACAGAAGAAACAAACAACATTATAACAACATTTAGTGGTAATGCATAATGGGGGAATAATATAGTAAAAAATTAAAAGTTAAAATTAAATTAATATCAAAAGAACAAGTAAGAGGGAAGCAAAGAAATATCAATGCAGGCTAAATTGTGGATTTGAAATAGAGATGGGCATCTCGCAGTCAACGAACCAAATATTTTAAAACAAACGAAATTTTTCTTGAACGATGGTGTCGAACGAGCGAAGGTCGATTGATTCCAACGAACTTTTAAAAAAACGATAGTTTTTAATTACTGAACGAAATATTTTTTCAAACTAAGCTTCTTCACTAGACGAACAATCTCGATGAACAAACAATCGTTGACGATCGTTGAATTAGAAAACAAACGAAATAGATGGAAAATTTACGATAGTTCTCAAAACGAATGAATACAAATGGGTCGTTAACGAACGATGAACGAACCAATTGCGCCCATCTCTAATTAGAAAAAAAACTCTAACCTGAATAGGAGAGAGGGCGGAGCTAGTTTTCCGTCCTGACCCCCGTCTACTGGATCGGACTATAGGACTAGGGCTCCGGGACTTAGAATGTAAAGTCTAGCAAAAAGTTCTATTCGCAACAACATGATTTTTTCTTTTTTCTGTTTGTTTATAAGAAGGATGGAACCAAGTATAAACAAACGAAAAGTTGATGGAACTGTAATTGTAATTACTTGTAACCTTCCATGCAAATATAGCAATGCCCAATTCACAACGGTACCCTTAAAACCTTTATCTGTTCACTAATGTAGAAGATATTGTCATTTTCTTGCTTTAAAGTATTAAATTCTGACAATTTCTATATTTTTACCTGCAATATAAATTAAAAATGATTAATTTTCAAAATTAAAAATAATAAAATCTAAATTAAGCTTAATCAGATTAAGCTTTTTATGATACCGGTGTAAATGGTGGAGTTCCATCTTTGCTTGGAGGATATGTATTAAGTGCTAAGTCTAGGAGGATATATATTAAGTGCTAAGTCTAGGAGGATATATATTAAGTGCTAAGTCTAGGAGGATATATATTAAGTGCTAAGTCTAGGAGGATATATATTAAGTGCTAAGTCTAGGAGGATATATATTAAGTGCTAAGTCTAGGAGGATATATATTAAGTGCTAAGTCTAGGAGGATATATATTAAGTGCTAAGTCTAGGAGGATATATATTAAGTGCTAAGTCTAGGAGGATATATATTAAGTGCTAAGTCTAGGAGGATATATATTAAGTGCTAAGTCTAGGAGGATATATATTAAGTGCTAAGTCTAGGAGGATATATATTAAGTGCTAAGTCTAGGAGGATATATATTAAGTGCTAAGTCTAGGAGGATATATATTAAGTGCTAAGTCTAGGAGGATATATATTAAGTGCTAAGTCTAGGAGGATATATATTAAGTGCTAAGTCTAGGAGGATATATATTAAGTGCTAAGTCTAGGAGAATATATATTAAGTGCTAAGTCTAAAGAAAAGCCAAAAATCACTACTTTTCTTTAGGTTGCCTTGATTGGCAGAAAAATTAAAGAGAGAAATTTCACAACTTTTTTATAATTCAATGAAATGTCTATTTTTGCTTTAAAGGGAATAAAGAATTTAAAGTGAATTTCCAATTGAGAGTGGCGTGTCCAATTTACAACCGTACTAGAGAAAACTTTGTGTGATCAAAATTACACGACATATCAATCAACTTCTCTCTGAAATTCGATGTTTTTATTGTGATTTCTTTAAAAAGTTATTTGCTGGTATCTTATTCAGAAACGTTATCGAAAATATTGTCGGAATTAAACACTTTTAAACTAGGAAAAGAACGATATCTTCCGCGTTATTCATCAGATAAATGTTTAAAAGGTATCGTGGTAAATCGGACATGACTATTTTCAAGTAAAATGTTACTTGAACTACAAGGAACTTGTTTTTAGAAATTTAAAAAATCCTGAATAATAATTTTGTTACCTCTCTTTTTGTCTGTCTTCCTCGTTTCTCCTTCTCCTCCATATTCTCCTCCTTCTCCACTGTCTCCAGTTTCTCATTCTGTATTCCATTCCTATCCAACCCTTCTCCTGGTTTATCTTGTAAAGGAATTCTTTCTTCCGCAATCTCGACAATCTAAACATTTTTTTATTTCATGAAATTATCTTTTTTTTGTTATTTTTCAAAATAGTTTTCATAATTGATGTTTATTAGTGTAGTTGATAGATTCTTAAAGTAACTGTCAACGAAGAATAGATGATAGATCCTTAAAGGAACTGTCAACGAAGAATAAATGATAGATCCTTAAAGGAACTGTCAACGAAGAATAGATGATAGATCCTTAAAGGAACTGTCAACGATGAATTGATGATAGAACCTTAAAGGAACTGTCAACGAAGAATAGATGATAGATCCTTAAAGGAACTGTCAACAATGAATTGATGATAGATCCTTTAAGGAACTGTCAACGATGAATAGGTGTAGAGACCCTTAAAGAAACTGTCAACGAAGAATAGATGACAGATCCTTAAAGGAACTGTCAACGAAGAATAGGTGTAAAAACCCTTAAAGGAACTGTCAACGAAGAATAGGTGTAAAGACCCTTAAAGGAACTGTCAACGAAGAATAGATGTAAAGACTCCTACTGGAACTGTCAACGAAGAATAGATGTAAAGACTCCTACAGGAACTGTCAACGAAGAATAGATGTAAAGACTCCTACAGGAACTGTCAACGAAGAATAGATGTAAAGACTCCTAAAGGAACTGCAATCAACGTAATTTCATGTGACCTCATATTAAAGACGATACAATGTCACTTTTTCAGAAAAATTATCTGAGAAGAAAATTATCAATTTTGCAGATAGAAAAGAAGAAAATCTAGTCTGGTTCTGATTCGAGGGAAGGTTGAAGAAGAGATGATATTAAACATTTTAAACTCAGTCAAATCTGGGAGATTCAATAGAAAGTATTTTACACTTGAAATATTTAGGGTGTTTTTTTTAAAACTTCGACCATTCTTGTTCTATTAGTTTTTTAATCTGGGACCGTTAATACCACAGCAGGACAGCAACATTTTAAATAAAAAGAATATATTTCGTCATTTTGTCGATATACCTGAATTGAATTGCTGAAACACCATTTTCCCGTTGCTTTAGCGTTAAGAAGAACCCCAGCCAGGATTACCAGAAGGAAGATGGATATCAGAGATACTGCGAGTAGGACGTATCCAACAGTATTTACTCCAGGTACTAGGTTCGATACACTGGAATATTAGAGATAATTATAAATCAGTGATACTGAGAGTAGGACGTATTCAACAGTATTTACTCCAGGTACTAGGTTGGATACACTGCAATATTAGAGATAATTAGATATCAAGGATACTGAGAGTTGGACGTATCCAACAGTACTAGTACAGTACAGTATCCAGGTACTAGGTTCGATACACTGAAATATAAGAGATAATTAGATATCAGGGATACTGAGAATAGGACGTATCCAACAGTATTTACTCCAGGTACTAGGTTGGATACACTGGAATATTAGAGATAATTAGATATCGGGGATACTTAGAGTAGGACGTATACAACAGTATTTACTTCAGGTACTAGGTTTGATACACTGCAATATTATAAATATATTTAGATATCACAGATACTGCAAGTAGGACGTATCCAACTGTATTTACTCCAGGCACTAGGTTGGATACACTGGAATATTAGAGATAATTATATATCAGGGATATTGAGAGTTGGACGTATTCAACAGTATTTACTCCAGGTACTAGGTTCGATACACTGGAATATTAGATATAATTAGATATCAGGGATATTGAGAGTTGGACGTATCCAACAGTATTTACTCCAGGTACTAGGTTCGATACACTGGAATATTAGAGATAATTAGATATCAGGGATACTGAGAGTTGGACGTATTCAACAGTATTTACTCCAGGTACTAGGTTAGATACACAGCGATATTAGAGATAATTAGATATCAGGGATACTGAGAGTAGGACGTATCCAACAGTATTTACTCCAGGTACTAGGTTCGATACACTGGAATATTAGAGATAATTATATATCAGTGATACTGAGAGTAGGACGTATCCAACAGTATTTACTCCAGGTACTAGGTTGGATACACAGCGATATTAGAGATAATTAGATATCAGGGATAGTTTAAGAATATATATGCTTCTGCAATAATTAGAAAAGAAGAACCCAATTGTGGTAAAAGAAGACGACCTTTAGCATCAAGTTATGTTTTAATAAGTCCTGTAAACATTAAACACGGCAATTTCCCTTAACTAGTTGATTGACAAGGTACTCTTTATAACGACATTAAAAACAAAATTCATAAATGTCGTCTTTCTCTTTCACATTTGTAAAATGTCACCTTTTCTGTGTTAGAAGAATGCTATAATCTTGATCTCCTGCTATATTAACTACCCTGAGTAACATAAACTGACACAATTGCTCAGCTCCAACTTATCAATAAAACAATTAATGAATTACGCTTTGTAATAGAAATTATATGAAAATTAACTTTAAAACCTATCTTATTAATTTAAAAACACCATGTTTTGGACTTTTAAAACTTTTTTGTCTCAAGTTTTTCCTTAAATACTGAAACAAATCTAAATCTTCTTTGGTTACAGATCTAAAAATAAAAATTAATTATCATTATTATTAACAATTATATTTTGACTGCTGATAAAACATACAAAGTCTAAATATAAATTGATTTTTAACAGAGAGTAAAATTTGGAAAATTAAATAATTTTTAAACCTGATTATGAGAGAAATATTGACGGTTCGGTCAGATACAGGAGATACAAGGATAATATAATCCCTACTCAGATCATCTACTAGAACCTAGATATATAGATGCAAGGATTATATAATCCCTACTCAGATCATCTACTAGAATCTAGATATATAGATACAAGGATTATATAATCCCTATAACTCAGATCATCTACTAGAACCTAGATATATAGATACAATGATTATATAATCCCCAGATCATCTACTAGAACCTAGATATATAGATACAAGGATTATAAAATCCCTTTTACCCCTTTCCTGCTGAGGGGGAGGGGGGTGGTCAATTTGCTCCCCTTTTGTTTTTTTACATAACTCAAAAAGCTGTTGAAATTTTCTGACTTTTCTTAACTACCCAAAGCCTTCTCTATAGGTATAAACCGGGCTTTTATACTAACTGCCTGAGTCCTGAGGCACACTGCATGAATGACCACTTTTTCCTGTAACAAACTAAACCTTTGTTTTGACCCACTTTAAGTTGTCAGATGTTAGCTCTTTGGAAAGCCTATGACATCGGGAAACGGATTGCACACGTTTTGCAAATAAATTGTTGAAATTCTTTTGCATAAAACTCGTCAAAAGAAATTTGCAGATTTTTAGTTTTTCTTAATAACAGGTTATTTAAAATTTTGCAATTGTTGTATATTTGAAATGGCATGGTTATTGGCTTTTAAAAAATATATATTTTATCATTATTTGGACATTTTTTGCAAAAATTTTTGCTATAAAAATAGATTTTGCCAAAAACAATTCAAATTTTGCAAATTAGAATTTTTTGCAGATTCTAAAAGTAGAGCATGAAAGCTTTCCAATGATGTATAATTTGTCATATTTGGATATCAAACATGGAATTTAGAGGGGGGGGGGGTCAATTTGACACATTCCCCCCTAGCGTATCCTGGGAGGGATAGGGTTAAAACTTTAACTTCAAAGAAAAACTGAATAATATCCGTTTATCAGTGATACATATATATATGTGTGGGAAAATATAAATATTTACACTGCACACTGAGCACACACTACATTTATATTAACTATTCGTCACTTTACACTGAATCATGCATTACCAGAGAAATACTAAACAAGAAATCTAATTTCTTAGAAAAATTTAATCTTCCTTGAAAAGTAAACTACCAAAGTACCTTCTCTACCTGACCTACCTGACCTGCCTGCCTTCTCTGACATAACTGGCCTACATGTCCTACCTGACCTACCTGACCTACCTGACCTACCTGACCTACCTGATCTACCTACCTTACCTGACAAACCTGACCTATCTGTCCTATCTGACCTACCTGACCTACCTGACCTACCTGACCTACTTGACCTACCTGACCTACCTAACCTACCAGACCGATCTGACCTACCTAACCTACCTGACCTATCTGACTTACCTATTCTACCTGACCTACCTAATCTACCTGAGTTACCTTATCTACGGGACCTACCGGACCTACCAGACCTACCTGGAAAGAATCTGAAGAGTTGGCCCCTACAAAATGCCAAGATATTTCCTGAAGGGAAGGGAGCGGGTAGCAACTACACAATTTTCATAAACTTTATGCAATCTAAACTTTTGATAAATCATATCAAAATTTGTAATTAATATATTTTATCTTATGTTGTGCAATAAAATGTGTATGCCTGATAAGTAGGGACATGTGTAGGGTTCGGTTTAATACTGTTTCGACCTAAATAATACAACAAAATTATCATTTGGATAAATGTATATAATCTATAGTACACAAAATTCGGTATTTGTGTCAGAAAAAATAAAGAAATTTAAAACTTGAAGATCTGAATCTTTTTTGATTGAAGAAATACTTTGGAAACTAACAAACAAATAGTTAATGAAGACTTTACCTCAAGCCCAGTTTGAGGCTGTGGTGGGAAGACGACTTTTGAAACAGCTGATGCAAGATCAGTGTACACAACTGCGCCATCAATACTTTGTTTTACAATACATGAGATTTCTATGTGTCCTCCATCTTGTATTTGTGGAATAAATTGAAATATTTTGACCAAATTTGTGCTAGTGTTATTGAGAGCTTCATCAATATACCTGGAAAATGTCAAACTCTTATAAAACTAAAACTTTTGTTTTTATTTTATTTTTTTTGCTTACCTTGTGCTATCGTTAACCTTCACTGTAGCAAAGATGCTTGGCACCGGTTGTACACTGTTTGTACTGCACTGTACTGCTTGGGCTTTGTTTACAGGTAAACTAAATGAAGTTTTGATTATGTTTTAGAACAGTCCAAGGAGTTCCAATAAACATGGGAATTAAGAGCTGTGTTTATGAAGAAATGGTTGTGCGTCAAATAATCTAAGGAATACACCATCAGGTTGCAGAGATATAGGATTAAGAAACTTTTTGTTTGTGGCTCAGACACAAATCCTTTCTTAATCTCCTTATCAATTTTGAAGGGGAAAATTTCAACCAATATTCTAAAAGTCTTCACTCAAGCTCAATGTTTATTGAGGCCTCCTGTATGAAGTTATACTTTTACCTGTATGGAAGTTTAGATATAGCTACGGATCCTGGAGTAAACAGGGATATTTCTTCCTCGCAATGCTCAGCAATTTTTTCCTAAAAACAACTCAGGTTTCTATCCGATGTTTCTGTTAAAAAAAACTGGCTGTATCATGCAGTTAAGTTTACTGTTGCGATTTACTCCAAATACCAAAGCTTAACTTCAATTGTATTTCTCAATTTATGAACTTTCCAAATTCATTTTAATTTTAAGGAGACGTTAATAGGGAAAGAGCGAAAATTCTATCTATAAAACCTGCCGATTAGGCGTCCGCACCACAACCTGCCGGAGCGGGCGCCGCGCCAGGAGGATCTTAAATATCGAATTGTTGCTCTCTTGCTGAACAATTGTAAACCGTTAAAACGTCTCATAGGTCTTTAATGAATCCTGAAATATTGCACTCTTAGCTCAACTTCCATGTATAGTCAGTCTCTCCCTTTAATAATATATTTAATCACCTCTCCGTCTCCATTGATAATGATTGTTGCCCTCCATTTTCCTTGGAGCTCCTTGGTTATATTTTCAACCTTTAGATCACATCCTCCACCTACCTGCCAGCTTGCTCCCCTAAACATCACATAATCAAACATGTTTAAACGTTTGCCAACATTTTAACCCCCCCCCCCTTCTTACGAGCTTAAATATGTTTTGTAAAGTTTAAAAGAGAAAAAAGTTATTTTACAGGCTTTTTATATTACTGTAAGCTGCTACAGGATTAAGCAGAAAACTCTGAAATAAAAAGACGACTTTTAAAATCAAGTTATAACAATAAAAACATTAAGTCCGATGAGCATGAGACACACCAATTGTGCAATGGAAACAGGACCATTTAACTAAATTTGTGATGTAACAAGTGTCTAGTTTAACTATTTGCTTTGTCACAACATAAAATGCACTTAAGTAGTGCAATAATTGTTTTCTGGTTATCACTGTATTATCATACATTTCCAGAACATTGAAGAAAAATCACTTCCGAGGAGAGTGATTTTCTGATTGAGTAAACCTTTAAAATTTCAAACTTAGAATATTTGATCAAACAGAATTTATAGTTTAAAATATCAAAAATCTACGACATCGGGTTAAAGAGATTCAGAGATTACTGACAAACCTTTTCCTTTTCAAAAAATAGTTTAGTTGTAAATTACAAAAGAAACAATTTATCATAAAAGAAAAAAGACTAGAAATCCATTGTTTTCTGATTCTCCCTGAACATAATTCTACCTAATTTTATCGCAGCTTGGAGCTCTTCCAATATCTGGAGCAGTCTCACAAACTGACCCATTATACTCCCATCTAAAACAAGTTAAATAATTTTTCTAAAACAAGTTTATTTTCTCCACGGACACCATCCTAAATTTGGGAACAATTACTTCAAAGCTAGTTTATAAATGCGTCAAAACGTTGACCTGTATGAATTTTGAAAATCCACCAAATTAAAGATCCGCGAAAATGTGTAGTTTAATGAAGTATAATAAAAAATGGCCTATAGTTTAAATAAATAATGAAATGTAAGAAATATCCTACCTAAAATCCATTATTTGGAACCCTTTTTTTATTCTTTTATATTAGATATTATATATTAGATATTGTATATTAGATATTTTAGAATGTTCCCGTATTTCTTTTAAAATTTATACATTTAAACAATACTTAAAGATTTTTAAACTTATCTCTAAACTTTTTTTTAAACCCCTCTAAGCTTGACACAAATTTTAAACCTATTCAAATTATTCAAAACATTTATTTATGTATAAATAATATTCTCTTTACTTAAATTTCAACCCTGACTAAAAATGTTGTGTTTTCATTTACCCTCTAATTGCTTACATTAAAATGAATTATTAAATTCTTTGTTATATTCTGATATTGATAAACTTGTGTTAAGCTAAATATATTTAACCAACCCAATTTTCCTTAAATCAATAATATTAGTCATACATTGAATCATCCCTTCATAATTTTAATTATTCTTAAGCACACTTATTTCATGTTTATGAATTTTTATAATCATTAAACCACACTTTGATTTGAAACCTCACTGTAAACTGAAGAAACTTGCGCGTAAGATTGAAATATTACATGTTTAATGACACCTCTTGTAATTGAGTTATTGAGAATAACAAAAGTGCTTTGAATTTCTAATATGTAATTGAATTAAATAGCTTTTCTCATAAGTGTGTATAAAATTAAAAATAGAGGCGCTACGAGTTCTCAAAGTCCTACCAGTAAAATCGCACAAATTGTACCTTCTCCTTCTGCATATTCTGGCTATAGTTTGCTGTGACCTACCTACAGAAGAACCAATCCTTCCTAGAGCAGGTGAAGACATGGTGCCCACCCTCCGGAACAAAGACGGAGTATGCTCCGGGTAGAAGGATAAACAGGCAGTATACCCTCACCATTGTTTATAGTATACTGGAGCAGGGGACACAAGATAACAAGATTTACTCACGGACAGATAACATTATGTGTATTATGGATTGTTGGTTACTGTGTTTATTTATAGCCAGGCTTAGATTTAGGTATTATGTATTACTACATACTAGCTATAAGGATTAGGTTTGAAAAATTCAAATTCAAAAATTCCTCGACAAATTTCAGCCAATTTGGTCCAGCTGTTGCACCTGCCATAGCTGACATATATACAGGGTGATTCAAAAAAAGTGTTATTTGCGGCGCTTGGTGCAAAATTGTACCTTTTTTGTGCAACTCTTCTTTATGGTGTTTTTTCAATATTTCTTGAAATTCTTTTATTTTTTTGTTATTCAAAAAAAACGGCGAACCTTTTTTTCTCTCAAAATCAAAAGTTTAAAAAATCAAAAATGTGCATGTAGATTATTTCTATCAAAATCTAAAATTTTATAAAGATTAAATCACAGAATCACAGAAAATTCGCAAAATTGTAAAAAGAAAATTCGCAATTTTCAGTTCTGGTTTATTTTTTAAGGAAAAGCTATTTAAATCCTCTAGTTCCTTTCTTCTTAATATATTCTAAAGTTATAAATATACTCTGTTCCGTTGAAACTTGAGGAGTCATTAAAAAACAACTTTTCCATAAAAATTAGGCTAGACCTGAAAATTGCAAATTTTCTCATTACATGTATATGACTCAGCCTAAACATACATTTATTTATGAGTGAAGAACTTTATTATGTAGATCTATAATGAGCACTGTACAGGATTATCCTCTAAAGAGTAGCCATTTTAGACACGACTGCACAGGTTTAAAAATGTTTTCCATCTAGATTATGTACTCAGTGTTTTATTTATCTCCCATATGTTCCATGTAAAATATTTAATCATTGTTCCATGTATATTCTGTAATCAATGTTCCATGTATATCCTGTAATCAGTGCTCCATGTATATTCCATGATAAGTGTTCCATATATATTCTTTAAACAGATTATGTACTCAGTGTTTGATTTATATCCCATGCGTTCCATGTAGAATATGTAATCATTGTTCCCTGTATTTTCTGTAAGCAGTGTTCCATGCATATTCTGTAATCAGTGTTCCATGTATATTCTGTGATAAGTGTTCCATAATATAAGCAGTGTTCCATTTACATTCTGTAATCAGTGTTCCATGTATATTCTGTATTCAGTGTTCCATGTAAATTCTGTAAACCGTGTTCCAGGTATATTCTGTAATCAGTGTTCCATGTAAATTCTGTATACAGTGTTCCATGTATATTCTGTAATCAGTGTTCCATGTATATTCTGTAATTAGTGTTCCATGTATATTCTGTATTCAGTGTTCCATGTATATTCTGTATTCAGTGTTCCATGTATATTCTGTATTCAGTGTTCCATGTTTATTCTGTATTCAGTGTTCCATGTTTATTCTGTATTCAGTGTTCCATGTATATTCTGTAATCAGAGATTAAACAGTAAACAATCATAAATAAAATTACTCATTGTGTAAATATATTCATGAGATGTATTGATCGATAGATAACCCAACCCCTGAACAAAACAAACAATTTTTCTAGATTAGATTTAATATTCAAGGTTATCTTGCTAATCAAGGGAAATTAACACATGTCTCAAAATCTAATTTTCTTAACCTGATATTTTTGCAACTTGAAGTCACAATTTTTTTATGTTTTAAAAAGTTAAATATAAAATATCAAAGGTTCTCACCATCAGGTTCAAAGATAAAGGGATGAGATAATTAAAGCTTGAGGTAAGTGTTCAATACCTTTGTCTTAACTTTAACAAAGAAAAGGGACTGGTATGAGGATCTGTAAATGTTTTTAATTCTCCGATCAAAAATCTAAATGTCGTCTTTTGCATATAAAACCAAAAATTGTAAATGCTAATATATATTTATGTGTTTTTAAAAAGTTGACAAGATTCTCCTTTGTTGGTTGACTCCAACTATTTGTGATTAAGTAATCACATGGAGTGTTCATATATTTGTGATTAAGTAATCACATGGAGTGTTCATATATTTGCGAAGAAAAGAGACGGAATTTAATAAAATAAGGAAAGGTCCGATGAACTACCTTCAAATCCTAAATCAGCGATTCAAATTTAAAGATTTATGATGATTTGAATCGGTGATTCAGGATTTGAACCGACGTTACATAGTTCAGTGATCTCTCTCCAATTCATTAAACTTTGTCCCAGAAAAAAAAAACAAGTTTAAGAAATTTGTATTTCTTTCAGTAGACTTTAAACATCTTTTTGGTAGTTTTGTTTAATGAAAATGTCCGATTTGAAACAATAAAAAACTTAGTCTGTAGAAAGCAAAACATTAAACTTATTAAGAAACGATCGGCAGAAAAAAGCCTTCTAATGCATGTTAAATAATTTATTCATATAAATATTTACAAATGTAAATTTTTTTATTAGGCATCGCGAGGATTCAAGCATAAAAATAAGACATTTTTAAAACTTAATAAACAAATATGTATATATTGTTGATTGCTCATATTCCATAGAGTCTTGCTACATCGTGGTTCAAACAAAAAAGTCTGGAAAGCACATTCAACTTATTCCAATGATTTATATCAAGCTGTGTCATTAACTCTCTCTCTTGCTAAAGCTGTATGCATGCCCAATTTATAACGATGTCTTTTAAACCTTCGTTTTAAGCAAAATTAACGAAAATATTCTTGTATTAAAATTGATATTTTAATGCGGTGAGAGAAGGAAAAAAATTGACAGAATTCAGCACATTTTCAGATAAAAAACGACGTTATCTCTATACGGGTGCCGTTGTGAATCAACTTTTAATTAAATTTAGAGTAAAATAATTTACTTAATTTAAGTCCCGTGCAATAATCTAATCTATAAAGAAAAAAACCGGTATACAATTAATCTTCTTTTTTTACGTCTGTTGTTTTCCATACTTCGTAATATTCATAAAATGCATTGGTATCAATACTGAGGAGCCAAGTTGTAACAATTAGTCCTTCCTTTCTAAAGTTACTCTTTTCTGATAAATATCTGTTAAACAGTTTCATCGGTTGAACCTTTCAGTTTACTTACATTTAAAGGGACAGACCGGCTATGTATGAGTATGCAGTGTTGTAGACAAATTCTTAAGGATGTGAGAAGTATAAAACGTTTCAACAATGTATATTTACTAAGTTTGAGTGCAAAGTCGACGTTCAAAATCATGAATTTGGGTAGGTACGTTTTAAGAATCGATTTTTTTAAATTATTAATTAACGAAAATATGATAAAAATTCTATAGTAAACTAATTAGATGTCTAGGAACATATTTCTCAAAAAAAATTTGTCAATAAATCAATGTTAAAATTAATTATTTCCTTTTTCTACATTATATTTAATTTCTTATTTTCTATGAATTTGTTTGCAGATTTCTTCAAATTCTTTCAATGTCGTCTTTTTAATAAAAATTCCCGAAAATCTTTGTGATTTAAGAGAGATTATAGAAAATAGTAATCTAATAAGATTACTTATTATCAATGATAAGAGTTAATTTTTATTTTCTCAACCTGTTCCTAAGCAACTAATTAGTTTACTGAGCGTCCACAACAAATTTCAGCCCAATCGGTCCAGCTGTTATACGCAATATATATATACGAATATATATATATATACGCAACATATATATATACGAATGTTTTTTTATAGAAAAGATGTTTGTAAACTTCGTCAAGTAATTAAAAGTTGGTCAAAACTAAAATTGTATTTAAATCTCTTCTGACAACCATGAAATTTAGGATCTGATTGACATTAGATATATTTTCTTTTAGAAAGTACAGGGTTACCCACAAAGGATGAGACTTCAGAGACAACTTTACGGGATTAACTCTATCTGTTTCCCTATATTTAGAATTCTCTGCAACTGTACATTTGTTTCTTTCTTTTCCTAAGGCCATTATTATAGACAATAATGATGGCAGAATACTTAATTCAACTTGAGACCTCACATTTAAAGAGGTTGAGGTCGTCATTACAGTATCATTCTTTGTGGTTAACCCTGTAGATTAATTGAACTCAAATTTGGCGGTTAAAAGTAATTGAGATCCCGGTTTTCGCATTAATCTATAAAATAAAGCAGTAAAGCTCTTCGCTCATACATATATGTTAGATATAGCTGCAGCCAAACAGCTGTACCGAGTTGGCTGGTATTTTTTAGGAAACCCATGGGTACCTTGGGGGTAACATAGGCCAAACAAATTTGAAATTATTTTTTTGAATCGAATTTTTTTTTTAAATTAAGTTGTTTTCCTCAAAATTTAATTTTGTTTAATTCCACGGGCAACGCCGGGTACTTAAGCTATTACTGTATAAAAAAACTCTCAGGTGAGCATTGAAGCAATGGCTCACCCCTGGAAAAGTTTCCCCCCCCCCTTCTTAGGGAGGAAGCTACGGAAAATAAAAAGAAAATTCTGAGTTGTCTCACCCCTAATAAACTCCTGTATCCGCCCCTTGACCCCCTATCCAATTTTTTTATTTCTAATTTTAAAGGGAGTGTTCGCGAAAAATGAAAGGGGTTATAGGCTTAATGCGATAAAAAAGCGCTTTTGATCGCTACTATTCTTACTTCTATCTGTTGTGTCTATAAGGGGAAAATTGTTAAAGACGTCTCATACCGAATAACATGGCATCCATACAAATTAAGAAAATTGCAACACACGACTTAGACTGTAAAAAAAATCAGTTTAATTTCAAACAAATCATTCAGATATTACAACCTATAGTCATCAATTATCTTTCGCCACATTTGTACGCTACGCTACGTTCTTCGGTATGATACGTCTTTAACAATTTTCTCCTTATAGACGCAACAGATAGAAGTAAGATTAGTAGCGATCAAAAGCGCTTTTTATCGCATTAAGTCTATACCCCCTTTCATTTTTCGCGAACACTCCCTTTAAGGAAAAATGTTTTTATGATTTTTCTGTTGAATGTTTCCTAATATTTCTGTAGGACTCCCACATGCAAACAAAGGTCAGCGCGAAAAATACAAATATTCTGAAAAAAAAGAGAAAAATGTTATTTTAAAATAATTATAACTTAGATAATAGGACAAAAAATAACTAAATCGACGATGTAACTAAATAACTAGATTGCTGCCACTTTCTTTAACCCTATATTTAATGTGAATTGTTTTAATGTATTGTTAAAATATTCAATTTATTTATGAAACTTTGATAAGAATCTCCTATTTTTGAATAAAAACATGTATTCTGTATTATCATTATAAAAAGTTGTTGATTAACCCCGTGGAAATGTAGGACCAGGGAGCAAGGAGATATAACTGACGCAGTTCGCCCTACCATATGATTATACATGCTTTGCAGACGAGTACTCCATTTGTATTTGTCTGATGTATATTTACTGCGTATACAATAACCTATTCTGAATATTTCATATACAAATGGAGTACTCGTCTGCAAAGCATGTATAATCATATGGTAGGGCGAACCGCGTCAGTTATATCTCCCTTCTATTCCTTACTCCCTGTGTAGGACCCATTTAACTGAGAAATAGAAAGACGACATTGAAGAAATCATAAATGATTGTATGGTGTTATAAAGCTATTTATAAATCCAATTATTAAGTGAAATGGGCTCGTGTACAAATTCTGTGATTCATCTTCAATGGACTATAGATTTAAAATCATTGGTTACACAGTCGTCTTTCTATTCCACACTTTTTTAGGTCTTTATAATTGATTACCAACCTTACATATTTCTGTATTTTCCGTCTAATTCCAAGAGGAAGTCTAAAAAATACATTTCTCTGACTAGACATCTTTTGAAAACATTGCAAACCATCTGCAGATTTTTTTCTAATTATATTGGGGATCTGAGGGGGAGTTTTGTAGATTGAAATTTTTAACTTTGATTGGATCTACAAAATTTAATTTTAAATGCAAGCCAAAAAACAATCCAGATTCCATTGTGACATTTCTTTCTGCAAAATTGATCTTTCCTAAACAGAATTATTAGATTTTACTTTTAAAAAGTGATTTTTGCTACTTTGAATTAATAGATATTTAATAAACTTTTAACATTAAAACTTCAATTTTTTTTCATAATTAATCTTTGAAATTAAAACTGTGTATTCGCCTTGGGGGTATACATTTTTAGTAAAGAATAAAAAGTAAAGATTTAAAATTTTAATAATAATTTACCTTGCCCTGTGAGCCGCCATTTTGTGTGTTTTGTAAAGTTAAATTTTTAATCTGCTTTGTACTGCATATGTAGAGTGTAGAGTCTTAAGCGTTGAGTGTACAGTTTACAGTGTATGGCAATGTAAACGTATAATCTGAAACAAATTAAGTTATTTTTTTTATTCTACTATTCTTTATTATTATACAAAGAACAAGAATAAGATAGATGTATGAACGTAGTAACTAGAATTTTTGTTGAAAAGGTTTTCTCTCTAAGTGAGTGTATTCTACAATTTTAGTTTGTAAAATTTGTAAAAGATTTTTTTTTAACCAATAAGGAATCTTCAAACAATTGTATGTTCCGAAGAGATATCTGAATATCCTTGAATCTAGTTAAAGAAAATAAATATTCAAAGTTGTAAGATCTGAGAGTAGTTTTCATTACATAAACACGACTTGGTCCGGTGGTTCAGGTTTTTTTAATGCTTATCATTGTATTAAATTAGTCTATTCAGGTTTGTTCACAGTCTGAAGAATAGTGAAGTCGAATATGTACTTTTAGTGAGATAAGTTAGATTTTAAAAAGTGTGTGTGTGGGGGGCGAAATTGTCGTCTTTTCTTACCCACACCCTTATTCAATCTTATCATTCAAATACATGATTTCCTATAGCTTAATTTATTTTCTAAAAATTGTAGAATTTAATTTTGAATTAGCATAGATGTTCTGAAAAAAACTATATAAACAGATAATTTAAAGAGGTGTCTGCAGCGTCTAATGTCAAATCTGAGTTTTTGTTTAACTTTATCACAGATTTATATTTTCTCGAGACAGGGAAATCAGATAGAACTAATATTAGTCGCGATTAACTCCTATAATGTTTAGGCTTCTGCCACAAACTCAGCTAGGTTTTCTAATTCTTAGGTCTTCGCAACCAGATGATGTAACCGTAGGTATTTCAAACTATGAAATCTGAGCAGGAGCTGAAAACTTTAAGAGATCACTGCTTTTTCTCCTTTTTTTATTAACCTTCAGATTATTTTAGCCTTTATCCACTAAAGTGCCTGAACTTCTACCAATCAGAGCTGAAAACTTTAAAATGTGATATCCTTAATCCCGATCTGTTAATAAATCTGGAGAACAAATTCATGAGGAGAACAAGCAATATTTAATCTGGAGATTAAGAAAGAGAGTGGATCAAGCATTAATCCCGATATCCACCATTTAAAAGTTCCCAGCTCAGAGTGTACAAAAAGGTAGGATTAAGAAAATCGTAAGTTTCCACAGTGGATATTCAGAATTAAGCGATCGGGATTAAGGGGATACGCAAATACCAAGATTTTCTTCAGAATTTGCGCGAAATAGCTTTTGCGCGTCATTGCTCAAAAACATCGAAATTTCGTGCAATTTTTCACTCGAAACGTAAGCAAATCTTTGCGCAATTTTTGCACGATTTTCGTGCAAAAATTTTCGACTGGAACCGTAATCTAGATTAAGTTTTTTATTGCTGATCAAAATAAAAATGCATTTAAGCACTTTGCATTTTTAATATTTAACAGTGTTCACCGAATAAACGTTAAACTTTTTATTTGACTTTTTACTGCACTATAGCCAGTAAGAAGTTGGTTTCTTAGTGATTTAATGCTAATGAGTAATGAGTAATAACCTTATTATGAATTTTTCGTAAATATACAATACAGTAATTTGTTTTGATTGACTGTTATGGCCAAATGTATGTTAATATTCACAATAAACTTAAAATTTTGGCGGGGAAACAGCAAGATATAACAAATTACACATTTTTAAATTCCTTGCAATTAGTTTTATGATTCTTTAAGGCTTAATAAATATAAACTTTGAACAATAATTTGTTATTCTAAATATATCCTGTCCGGCTTATACTGTACACACTACTGCTTTCAGAGAAGTCTTACAACTCCCCTTCTTTCCTTTCCCTTTCTTCGCTCTAACCCCAAACTTTTTCTCAAAATCCCCTACTTTTAATGCTAAAGATGTAAGCACTACAAATGCTTTCTAATTTATAAAATTTATAAAAGAAAACTCATCCTAAAGGGACTGTAAGCTTGTTAATAATAAGTAACTCCTCCATTCCCAATTTATATATTGTTTTCCTGATACGAAAAGCAAGAATTGCGCGAGTCATTTTCGCAGCGAACCAGAGCTGAAAGCTTAAGAATGGGATATCCTTAATCCCGATCGCTTAATTAATCTGGAGATTAATAACAAAAGGAGAACAAGCATTATTTAATCTCGAGATTAAGAAAAAGAGTGGATCAAGCATTAATCCCGATATCCACCATTTAAAAGTTCCCAGCTCAGTTTAAAGAAACAAAAACACAGATATCTAATTCATTCTTGTTCAGAATTTTGAGGGTATCGTTGTGAGTCGTACACGGCCATCTTTGCATGAAGAGGCTCACTTAAAATATCACTTACAGTCCCTTTAAAAACCTTAAAATATGTTTCAATAATGTTAAAATACACAAATTTTGCAAAAACCTTATTCCATGAAGTAAATGAATGCAGAATGCATATTCAATAAATGTAATTTCAAAAGTTACAGATAAAATATAAATAAATACTAACTTCTTTCAAAGGTAATATAAAAGGTGACCATGCACATTTTAGAATAAAAAAGATGTTTTGTTTGTTTCCATAAACATTGATATATATTTCTCTTAATAAAGTTGAGATGGGAATTTTTCCCAAACACGTTCGCTTCCGAATAGCCTTTATTACAATATTGAATTTTAAAACATTTTTTTAAAATAATTTTTTTTCGACACCAAATATTAATATAAATAAATAAGTATAAATATTTTCGCACAAAGTTTAATAAGTTCTGTTTTTTTAAAGAAATTATAGTTTAATTTTTTCAAAATATGAACAGTATATCAAGTATATTTTAACAGGAAGAAGTTTACAGATGTTACGCATACTGGTCATGAATGTTACGCATATATATATATATATATATATATATATATATATATATATATACGCATTCCGTAGATATTTACAGGGATGATCATTTATACAATAACATTAATTTTCAGTGGCATAAAAGCTGCATGATAATTATAGTTTTATGTGAAGCGAGAATCTATTCTGAATAAGTTTTAATTCTCACAAAAATATTACATTAGTTTTATTTGTATCGTAAAATTATTTTATTTTTCCTTAAATATTTGTTAGTAAACCCCTTAATTGATGCTCTCTGAACATCAGTAAACGCTAGGCGCCAGACTAAGCGCCAGTGAGTAGGTTAGACGTCGGCGCCAACAGCTTTCTTTGCTTTCTCCGGGATCAGCTGATAAAGGTAAATAAAAGAGTGTACAGTGTATAGAGTGCAGAGTGTAGAGTGAATTCCAAAGTGTTTAAATATAAAATTGTATATTGTTAAAACAGGTCAAATTCTAGTTCTTCCCACATGCACATTACACATTCAACAATTTTGATAAAAAGAACAAACATCTTTTTATTTCTATTCTGGGAGTTGAAAATAATATCAAAATAAATACAATTTCTATAAATAGAATGATGCAACAACATACATGAATCAAAACATTATCATTCTTGAATAGAAATGAACTGAGCTGAAAACTTTAGAATGGGATATCCTTAATCCCGATCGGTTAAGTAATCTGGAGATTAATAACAAAAGGAGAACAAGCATTATTTAATCTCGAGATTAAGAAAAAGAGTGGATCAAGCATTAAACCCGATATCCACCATTCTAAAGTTCCCAGCTCAGAACACATGCGACAAACCTATATCAGAATTCTTCTCATGAAATTTGAATGGTCTACACTATAATATCTTTAAAATTAGATTTGTGGCAGTGTTCAGTTCTTTTCCGAAAACTTAAAAGATGTCACACTATTGCTTCACTGATCACCACCATAGATAAATAAATCTACAGAGCGTACCATATCATATTAGATTATCTCCAATCTTTAACACCTAAATACGCACATTATACTAAAAAATCTAGCATTTTCTGGAAAAAAAGTTTCTATTAGCCTTATTAAATTTGTCAAAATGATTCATTTTTCTTAAATTTTCTGATTTGTCCCCCAAATCGTAATTTAGACCCATTGACGCGGTCTAATTTGATGTGGGACACCTTGTATGATCGCAACTTTAAAATCTTACTAGCACAGATTTCACACAAAAATGAATGTTTAAAAAAAATACCATAATTTCTCCCTCATTGTTATATTCAAATAAAGATATTAAAAGTACAGTTGTAAATGGGACATGTTTTCGCTTTAATTAATGAGGGTGACTTGAAATTACGTCGGAAGTCCCTTTAAGCTTAAACTTTTCATTCTTCTTTCGAATGCTACCCTTCTCTTGTCTAGTTCTTTCCCTTACATTCACTACTCCTTCCTTTCCTTTATATGCATTCCCCCTCCTTTCCTTTATATTCGCTACCCCTTTATTTCCTTTATATGTATTACCCCTCCTTTCCTTTACATTCACTACTCCTTCCTTTCCTTTATATGCATTCCCCCTTTATTTTCTTAATATTTAATACCCTTTACCTTTTATCCATTTCTCCTTCCTTTCTTTTACATAAATATGTATCCCCCATCCTTTCCTTTACATCCATTCCCCCTTCCTTTTATTCCCCCTTCTTTTCCTTTATGTCCATTCTTCCTTCCTTTCCTATATATACATTTCCCCTTCCTTTCCTTTATATCCCAGTTCCCCCCTTCTTTTCCTAGTTTCTACACGAATAAGAGTGTGTGCAGAGTGTAGAATGTGTTGTGTCTTAGCTAGACTGGCATATTGGCTTTATACTTAACCTTGCGCAGGATTCATAAAGGATGTCACAAAAATATCAATTCCATCTAGAGCTATAAATAAAATATTATAATATGGCTTTACTTAATGGAGGCATTTCTTATTCCAAAACGGACTTAGGTGTTTTTTTTCTAAAAATTTTATTTTATTTTTTATTGAAAGCTGAAAGAAAAAAATAATGATCTATCTTATTCAAATCGTCAGTCAGTCTTACTTTTGAACCCATTTGTACATAAAATGAAGCATATAAAGCTCACTATGTTTTGATTGCGAAGAAAACTGTGACTGAGTTTATTTTAGTACAGAGCCCGAACATCCTTAGC